AGATCCTAAATTATTAGCATCTCTAACAAGCTGGCCACATTTTCATGAGCCAAGTCTTATATATTTCATGATTCATGACCTTTTAGTATACAAATTTCAATATTCTGTGAATTAATGGTTCACAGGAACCTTTAAATGTCCATTTAGTATTGCTAAAGAAACTAAGATTTTTCTAGTCTTCTCATCTGAATGTAGAAGGTGTGGGTAGTGATAAAAATTTCCCTGTTTCAGGGAGTTTTGCTTAACAAACTGTAATTGCATTTATATGTCTATAGGAGAGGCAGAGAGAATCCCAATTTGAATCCAATTTGGGCCACATAGCAAGTTCAGGTACAAGGCTGGAGGAGAGGGTTTACTTATCAGTCCAGGTAATGCTGTCTGGCATCAGATTGTGTTGATTTTTTTCAAGGTGACTTTATTATTTTTACCCTTTAGAAAAATGTAAGGCCAGGGTGGGTTACTTTCAATGTATTCTAATTCAGATCACCACCTCTCATTTGAATCAACCCAATACCGTCTAAATTGGTCTTTTGGCTTTTCCTTTAAGACCTCCTACTTCTCCATACAAAAGCTGGAGCTGTCCTCCAAACATGTAAATCTGATTATGGCACATTCCACATCCAAACAATCTAGCTTCCTCTCACGGTTTCCAGATTCAGCAACCTCACAAGGCTCTCTGCCTAACTCCGTGCTTTTATCATTGCCTTTCAATGTGACCACCCTGCATTATGTATGTGGACCTTTCTGCAGTTCCATAAAGACACTGAATTTTTGTGTTTGCTCTATGTATTGTCCTTTGTTTCAAAGTCCTTCTTTCAAATGGGCACATGATTATTATCTCCTTTATCTCAAGTATCACATCTTTGAAGATGTCCTTTATTACCTGCAAAACTAATACAGAACTTCCATCACTATCTATTTCCCTGTGCTGCATTACATTTCTTATGGTACTGTTGGCCCTTCTGGAACAGTACTTGTCCGTGGAGCTTTCTGTGATGATGGAAATGGTGTGTAGAATTTTATACTACCCAATACAGTGGCCTCTACCACATGTCGCTATGGAACATATTTTTGTGTCTTAAGTGAGAGAGCCAAGTGAAATTTTAAATTTTATTTAGTTTGAATGAATTTAAATGTAAATAACCAGTTTTGGCTAGCTGCTGCCAAATTAGGTAACAGTTCTGGCAGCTAACCTTCATAAGAACAAAGACTTGTGTGTTTTTTTTT